TCACTATCACCTAATTTACTCTTGATTGCACTAGAAAACCAAATTGGATTTTTGTTACATGTTTTAGTCTAAGACACACAAACAGTTGAGACAAATGCTACAATCGGTGAAACAGTTTTTAGATGTGCCGTAACAGATTATTATACCTATAAATAAATAAACAATAAATAACGCACACACAAATAGCTTAGAGCGTTTACACACGGCGTCTTTTAAGCGATGCAAACGCGATGAAAACGTGATGCAAACGTGATGCAAACGCGATGCAAACGCGATGCAGTCGCTAAACGTCTACCTTTACACACGCACGCGACTTTAAGCAGCGATGGAAACGGGAGCAAATGCGCGACTGCATCGATTACATTGCTACACTTGTCGCGAACGAACGCGCGTTTGCATCGCTGCTAAACTCGCCGCCTGTAAGCACTCTTGCGTAAACCTTGTGTCGCGGGTGCCATGGACATACACATAGCAACTACAAATTATACCCAAACTCACGAGAGAAAAAAAAGGCGTGGTAGCCTAATGGTTCGAACTACTGCCTCTCAAGCAGAGGGTCGTGGGTTGGACTCCAGACTCGCACTTCTGAGTTTCTTGGAATTTATGTGCGAAATTTAATTTGAAATTCATCATGAGCCCTTTTTTCGGTGAAGGAAAACATCGTGATAAAACCTACACGTTGAAGTCACAACCCTCGGAAAACGTGTGTAGTCCCCAACCCGCAATTGCCAGCGTGGCGGACTATGGCCTAAACCCTCGTCTGAAAGGAGACCCGTGCTCAGCAGTGGGAGGTATAATGCGTTGATGATGATGATGAGTCATCACTCACGAGAGAAATAAAAAAATGTAGGCTATACAAATATTTCTCCATGCTCGGTATCGCTATGGTAACCGTTCGGCCACGAAGGTAGTTATTTTCGCTTCATTTCAGTTATATACGCAGCTCAAATTATAACCCTCTGTTTAGCTTCACCGTATTCGGATAAGGAGGGCCATTATACTGAGTCATCGTTGTTGTCCATAGCCCGTTCCCCTAAGCAGGTTATATTCGGCCACTAAAAGGTTTGTGTAACACGGGTGCAAAATATAGAGGCCCTTATCACAAATATTATACAATTTAAATAATTTATTCCTAACGCTTGTGGTGTGATATATAATTAATACCCTCGCGGAACAAATAAAACTCACTTTTCCTAGCATGCTTTTTTTGTAACTACCGACCTCAAAAGTTTGCTTATGGGCTTTTTTCGATTTCCATAGGATCATCTCATCATATTCTGACTTCTAATGGGACTGTTACGGACTCCTTTGTACATTTTATATTTTCTTTTCTGGTTGTCATGGTGACGGTAATTTATTGATTACATGTATTGTGTCAAGTGAAAAGTCGACTATTATTTGCGGAAAACAATTTTTTTAATTTGTGATAGCCTAAACGAACCCGGAACAGTGTCGTCGGCATCAGGGACCACCTCGACAGTATATCCTTTAAAACAAAAAAGAATTTTCAAAATCGGTCCACAATCGAAGGTGAAATCGGTACGTATACTGATATGCCTATAAAATTTGAGGATTTTCCTCGATTTCCATGGATCTCCTCATTAGATTCTGACTTGATGACAATGGGACTACCACGAGAGTGCACCCTTTGAAACAAAAAAAGAACGAAAATGATGAACGAGAAAGACGCTAAATGATGAAATGCCTAGAGTAATCCCGGTAGGACCAATTTAAGAAATTAAATTAATGTGGACCACATTGGGTCAGGGGTCTTTCCATAAACTCTTATTACGATTCAGTTTAGGACTCACAATGAATCGTTGTGAGACAGCGCTACATGAAGTGTATATGATGATATCCCGCTTTTTTGTCGTTACGAACCTATACAGAACTGTAATCATGATAAGGCTGCTTCGGGGTAATGCCACCGATATTAAGAGAATCTTTATCCTGCAGAAACGTGAAGTTAGGTGAATTTATAATCCGAGCACTACAGGGTCTTGTGAAAGAGTTCCACCAGGGAAATACCCTATACCCTACCTATTTCTGCTATCAAGCAGAAATGTGAATATTACTTAAACGGGTTAACGCGTCTGCGCATTGCATCCCATTCGTATTCGTTCCAAATCCCAGACTATACAAATGTAGAAAACTCAGACCCACTTCGGATGCCGCTTGTGCACTAAGTCCCATTCAAATCCGAGAAAATACAAATATCCCTTGTGCACCTAGAGATAAAAGGATCGCGGCGATATTTCGGACCATTATTTCTCGGATTCGGAACTGGGGATCTACTCTCGATCTCCGTCCGAAACAATTACTGCCAAATAAGCAATACTTGACCAAATGAAAAGACGCGTGATGCGAATGAAGCTTCATACTTGATACTTGTCTTTTAATTTTGTCGAATATTACTTATTGGGCAGTAATTGTTTCGGACGGAGATCGAGAGTAGACCCCCTGATACGAATCGGACGTAGTGCATACACGCTCTAAGGAAGCTGATGAACGTACAGGCACTGGAACTTGTCAAGTTGTGTCTCAAAAGGACGAGTGTGGCAGTGCCCCATATATCTTTACGATTTAAAGCTCTGACTGGCACTACAACTGTTATGGACAGGCGTGTCGCTTACCACCAGGCGTACGACTTGTTCGTCCCGTCACTTGGTACAATAAAAAAATAACGAATAAACTTTCTTTATTAAATTTACACGAAAAAGCTTTTTTCGACTCCTGTACTTTAACATGTCAATTATAATTTCATAAACCTATCACAAAGGCGCTCTATTTAGTTCTGAATCAAAATTATATTGTCTATGATACTCGCTACGGAACTAAAAAATAAATAAACATAAATAATTCTTACACAGAACTATAATGAGTTTCAAAAAAAGAATGTTGTATTTTTGCTAATTATAATATCGAGTATGACGCTACGCATACGCTCTGCTTGTTAAATTGGCGTAGAGGTCTTGCAACGGAGCTTTAAAACTCATAAAGAACAAAATATTGGTTAAAATCTCAATGGTATCTGACCCCTTCTATTCTATCTCTTTGTGTTTTGGATCGTAGCGTTTGTATGGCTTTCATTTGCCTTTGTTGTCATCGATTGTTAACAAAATCTTAGATGGACAAAAATAAAGGAAAAGAGGTGCCTTATCTACGGAATAAACGTCCCTACCTAAACCAAAAACGTCCACCACAAATGGCGGATTTAGTGTTGTATCATAATCATAGATAAGTCAATATCGATATGCAAATATATATATATATGGCTTGAACTGTGGTTACTGTGTTTTATGTTTTTTTTTAATTTGTGTACTTTACTGTAATCAAAGTATAATTAAGTTAGGCAGGCGGATTGACTTTATGCAGGTTGATTTTTTGACAGCAAATGTTACAAAATCATTAAAATATTATTTTATGCACTCGTTGCTTAATACGCGATTTTAAGACTTAATTATGTAATGATGCACTCATTACATAATTAGGTCTTAAAATCACTTTTCTTGAGCTGCTTTCTGCGCTTGGAGTCTGGAAGTATACAAGTCACAACGAAGCTCATACGTACTACACATATAGCTAGTATTACGATGAAAATAATGTTAAAAGCTTCGGAGTAAGGACTTATGTCAAATCACAATCTTCGTACGCGTTTCGCGGTAACCTCCGGTCCGATCCGAAGCTAAAACGATGATCGTTGCTTCGTATTTTGTGTTAGACCTCCTGTTTCTAAATGGTTAGTAAATTAATATTACGACGCGAATATTCGCAATGAATATTAGCATCTGACTCGGATATCTGAATTTATGCGGATTATCCACAGATGGGAATGCGGCTGCTAATATTCACAACAACCCTCGTACAAACCTACACGTACGATTTATTATAATCTTTCTATCGTATATTGTTATTTTTACTCACAGAATCACAAATCCAGCATATTCTGTTTCTAATCTACATTTCTACGAGTTTGACTTCTAACAGATTGACTGCAAGTTGGCAGTTAATGCGTGAAGTTGATAATTATTTCACGCATTAATTGCATGCAGTCGATCTCTACTGCACGAAGTCGATTTAGACTGCATGCAGTTAATGCGTGACCTCGATTGCATGAACTTGATAACGACTTCACGCATTAACTGCATGCAGTCGAAACCGACTTCATGCAGCCGAGTTCGACCGCATGCAGTTAATTCGTGAAATTATCACATTAATTGCATGCAGCCAATTTGATAACGACTTCACGCATTAACTGTAAACATGCAGTCAATCTATTATCAACCTTTCTGTTAGTAGACAAGTGAAGGGACTTTTTTTATGATATCAAGTGACAGGACGAACAAGTCATGCGCCTGATGGTAAACTACACGCCTGTCCATAACAGTACAGAGTACTAAAAAACCGACCTCAAAAGTACGTAGAATTACATCTATTTGCCAAGTTTTATAGAAATATCCCCTAGTTCGCCACTATACAGGATTTGACACAGGAGATAATAAAAATGGGTTCTCACTACTCAAAATATATTGAGAGAGAAAAACGCCTTAAATTGGATAATAGCAAACCCAACCATTAAAATAATTGCTCCTCAAGTAAAATTTAGGCGCTATTTATAAAATGAATGTTCATGCGTGATCAGCCACCCTTAGAGGTGGGTGGTTTTCTTCAAAATGAAATGGGACCACTATGGAGGTACCCTCTTTCCAACAAAAAATAATCATGAAAATCGGTTCACAAATACCGGAGTTGTCGCGTAACATACATACAAAAAAAACATACAGTCGAATTGAGAATCTCCTACTTTTTTTGAAGTAGGTTAAAAAAAGACATTTAAATTGTAGTATACATATTTGTAATCAAATATTTGTAGTTCTGATTTCTAAAATTACCCGCACGGAGCAAGAAACTAAGGCAAAATTGTAGCATGTGGAGTTTCATAACCTGTACCTCACTAAGATACCTATAAGTTATTATGTAAGATAATGAAAGTAACTTACCACTGATATGAACAGCAATTGCAGGCGGCATAACAAAAATGCCAACCATTAAATCCGCCGCAGCCAAACTAGTCACAAAACAGTTGGTCACAGTTCTCAGTCGTTTCGTTGTAACCACAGCAGAAATTATCAACGTATTACCTATTACCGTTACAACTATTAAAAGGAACAATATTATTACAACGCTAATCTCAATTGTATCGTACGTGTTAACTTCACAAAAGTCACTGATATTAAAACTGTTACAATTTACATTTGGCACTTTTGTATCTTCTATAATGTGGTAAATGTTGTTTTCTAATTTTGTTGTATTTTCTCCTTTCACATTTTCTGTTAATATTTCTGTTTCTAATTCGGTTGCGTTCCATCTTATGATGTTGTCTAAGAGATCTGCTTCTGTTAAAGAGATCATTGAGCTAGGAGATTCGGTGTTGTGATGACATTCTCTGTAAAAAAAAAATATTATTATTACCATGACGTAATTAACTATAGTCTGTCTTTTTTAAAGTGGAGTAAAATGACATTTTCGTGGTTGTCACTTTTCATTAAATTTTAAATAGTCATGCATTTGTTGTCGACAGTTTTATCGATAGATTGAGAAAGAAGGTAAAATTTTACCAAAAATTACCTAATTGCCAATATTATGACGTTCTAATGATTACTAATTGCGTTATTGCCTTCTTCAATCTAATTTTAACAGTTGACCTACTAGTATCGAAAACATTTTTTATTTATATGTACATTTTAACAAGTACAGGCGTACTTGATTTTTTTTTTATAATGACGTACACACTCATAGTCCCGCAATAGGGAAACCCTGAGTCGCGGGTCCCATAGACACACACATAGACATCCACAAATTACACCCAAACACACGAGAGAAAAAAAATGTAGGCCATACAAATATTTCTCCCGGCCTGGAAGCAGTCGAGCATGGTAACCGTTCGGCCTCGGAGGTAGGAGCACACAAAAAAATACAATCGAATTTAGAACCTCCTCCTTTTTTTAAAGTCGGTTAAAATACAAATAACTCAGCTATAAATACGCGTGCCCGTGATGCTACAGGTAGCACTTTTTCTTTTTTTTTCGCGTGGGAAGGAGGAGTCATTGTCAATTCAATTACCATTGCCATTTCTATTGTGAAACTTTACAAAATTATTTTAATTATTACAAAACAAAAAATGAACAAGAAACTCTTGGAGTTGCCCGTTGTAAATAGATTTCATATTTCATTTCACAGTTCACGTTTACCTTTTATTTAAAAATCTCATTATTTGAAAGAACTAAACAGAAGCTGTATAAATAATGATTTGTAAAAAGTTTTAGACAGTTTTAAACTACGTCATGGCAAATTTTGCATACCAAGAGAAAACTTATCTTAGAAGCGTTTTTATTGCCCCATAAATAAAGTCGTGACTTTGTAATAGGTCATCATTATTATTCATGAAAAAATAACTATTCTTTGTAAATTATCATCAACCCACTTATACGTCCCACTGCTGGGCATGGGTCACGGGAAACGCTCGCCCGATGCAGGTTGGAACTTCACACATTTGTCGGAAGCGCTGGACAGCGAGTAAAATTGACTTTTTTTTTATGCTGGTAGACTCAGCTTCTTTTAAGGATGATTTCATGGCATGAGACGAAAAAACAGCAGATGTTGGTCAAATTTATTAAAATGATTTTTCATACAAAATTAACTGGATTTAACTCAATTAACAAACTAGTCAATTAAAACCGACTAGTTTTTTTCAATGCCGATAGACTCAGTTTCTTATAAGAATGATTTTATTGTGTTGTATTGGAAGAAAAGAATTGGGACAGCAGATGTTGATAAAATTTAATAAAATATTATTCATTTTGTATGAAAAAATATTGTATGACATTTGACTAACTTCTGCTGTCTCGATTGTTTGCGTCCCATACAATGATCTCTTTATAAATTTGAAATTTGAGTCGATCAGCACTAAAAAAAATGTTGATCAACTTTGTTTATTTTTATGGACAACTCACGCTTTATCAAAAAATTGACTATACCAAAACTATTTACACAAAAAAAGGCGAAGCTGCAGAGCCTTGAACACCGCAGTAAAGTTGCCTGCTTTTTGGTATTCTACACGGAGAGTGTGCGATAGAATTGCATAATTTGATTTCGCCTTCCCCTTTCCATCATCGGGGGACTAAACGTCGGCTCTGGGATCCCTCTCATATGTTGTGGACATTCCCAGGATTCGCACGAAGCATTTTGCTTCCACATTTATATGGCGAGCGGCTAGAGAATGGATTAAGAATGGAATAAGTCCGCAGGTAGGGAAATCTCTACCTGGGGACTTATTCTCCGACTTGGACCTTTTCAAGGCGAGAGCGAATAGGCATTATTTAGGTGTGCATGCTACATCGTCGACCTCATCATCACTTTCCATCAGGTGAGACGGAGGTGAAATGCGCACTTATTTTTATATAAAAAAAAAACTTCATGTGGGAAGCTTTCGTGCACCCTAAATTAGTGATGATTATATATTATCCATTGACATTATATTTTAAATTGTAATATTATGACATTGATAATGCAATAATTGTATTCTATTCAAATTTCTTATACGTTTGGCTGTTAGTTTACAAATTCTGTCCTAGTTATCTCTGAGAGATTTTTTATGATACCGAGTAACGTACGGGATGAACAAGACGTGCAACTGGTGGTAAGCAACAAGTTTGTCCACAGCAGTTGCAGTGTCACTCAGAGCTTTAAATCGCAAAGATGTGAGGGACACTGCCATTGTGCCCGTCACATTGAGACATACGTTGACAAGTCTCATGTGCCTGTGATTTCACCAGCACCATTCTAAGCCGGAACGCTGTAATGTTCACAATATTGCTTGGCAGTAAAAATAAGTAAGGTGGCAGTACTTCCTTTCTTCCTGCAGAACTCTTTCACAAGGGCCTCTACAGCTACGAAATTGATGTGGGTACTCAACAAGTAAAGTCTGTTCCAATCCATAATGCCAGGAAAGAATTTGGCTTGGTCACCTCATATGAATGAAGTCAGTCGAAAAGTCCATTTCTCCAAAACATTTTTGGCCTTTTGAAGATAAGATCTGTTTAGCCCAAACTCTTATTTTATATATGCTGATTCCTGCTATTTGGATGCTAGAGAAGAGCTGCTAAATAAGCTTGAACGGTTGCAAAATCTATGTATCAGGTTTATCTTTGACCTTCGTAAATTTGACCGAATCTCACACTATCGCAATCAACTCAAGTGGCTTCCCATTCGTCTCCGCAGGAATTTGCATATAGTCTCTGTTCTCTACAATATTCTTCATAACCCTTCGTCTCCCAAGTATCTGTAAGAGCGTTTCATCTTTCTCAGGTCTCAGAACAAATACTTTCGCTCTCTCGTTAGGTCCCAATTGTCTTTTCTTTCCTTCAATTCCGGTTTTTGTTCTCACTCTTTCACTGTCCATGCAGTCAGACTTTGGAACGCACTTTCTATTTCTGTTCAAGAGACTACATAATTAGCTACCTTTAAATTGAGAGTTAAGGACCATTATTTATCTACTCTCACATCCATTTTATAGGTATTATATTTTGAAATATGTATTTATCTAGTTTATAATAATTTAATGTTAAATATTGTATTACATAATTTTGTATTTTGTTCACGTGAGCCCGTTATTACAAATATTTTAGGTCTGCAGGAAGAAATTTCTTATGGAAATATGCAGTTTTTTATTTGTGTTTTCCTTTTATTAAATGTATTCTGTGCTTTTTTTTATTGCACTGGCAATAAATATTATTTTTAAAAGTAAACTAACCGGTTTGGTTAAAATTCTAAAGCAATCACTCAGTTTCATGTATATTTTCAAGATTTCGATTTGATATCTTATCACTTTTTCCACCAACATTCATTTGAATAGCATATTAAAATCTTATTTCAAAATGTTTGTTCAAAAGAAAATTTCTAATCTTATGTACCTGGGTGTAATATTAGATAATAAATTACATCTCTATCTACACATTGACTCCATCGTTGCCAAAGGGTTTCGAATGTATAAATTCGTCATGAGAACTGCTACCGACTTCTCTCGTCAATCAACTTATCTTTACTTATATATTAGTCTGATTCGACTTCAAGTGGAATATGCGTTCTCAATTTGGAACCCTTACTATAAAAAATACTCAGAACAAATTGAAAAAATTCAAGCTAAATTCCTTAAGTCGATAAATTATAAAATATTTAGAAAAATTACGTCATACGAGGGTTTACTATCTAAGTTTGGAATGCTAACACTTCACAATAGACGAATGCTTCTTCAATCAGTAACACTCCATAGACTTTGTCACAATTTAATTGATTGCCCGGATCTTGTGCAACATATTAGATATAATATACCAATGAGAGTTTATCGACGGCGAATGCGCTCCTACTCGTTGTTTAAAACGGCGACCTGCAGAACAAATACTGGCAAGCGAGTTCCTCTACGTCGTATTTTTTCTCATTACCATGATTTGTTTAGCAATATTGACATATTCCATTTGCCTGCTTCTAAATTTAAAAAAGCTATTATTGATGCTCTGTGCTAATTTCTTATTTACCTTTTATTTGTTTTAAGTTTATTTAGCCCTACCCATCACACACGAGAATTTTAATTTTAATTCTAATAGTAACACTCTTGGTATGCAAAATTTAATTTTAGTTCTAAAAGTAGTTGTGGATAATGCTGTTGATTGTACGTGTACCAATGTTAGAAATATTTAACTCTGATTGTAAACATTTCATGTACAATTGTTAGTTATCCCTGAAAAATAAATGAATGAATGAATGAATGAATGAATAAAGATATAAATAAATAAATAAACAAATAAACAAATAAACAAATAAACGAAT